AGACGTTCAGTGTTACCCACGTCTCCAGTAGCGACCCGATAGATTTCATCAGAATCTTGTCATTTCGTGCAACACTATCAACAACACCCTCAGGAGGGTCGCTGCACATGAACTTCAGTGCCGGCCGAACATAATCGTCACGGGGCTCCAGCTGCAGATCCTCAATGGGATACTTTGGAGGCGGCGGAGGCGGTGGTGGTAGTTCCGGTTGGGGTTGGGCGGGTGGCGGAACCATGCTGTTTCTGAATGGCACGGGAAAATGAAAAGGCACATTTCCGGGCACCTGAGGATGCGGTCCCTGAGTTTGTGGGAGATACATATTGACGTCATTGTGGACATCCATATCCTGGTGATGTGGTGACTGGCTGTGGTGAGTCTTGATGGCCTTGTGGCTCTTAGGTGCAGGCTTAAGCTCAGGTAATCGAGCCGGGCCGAAGCTCTGAAAAGCACCGCCCATACCATTCATATCCTGTACTCCGTTGTTTGGCTGCGACGCCTTCTTCTGGGCTTGGTGCTGCTTTCGCTCTAGCAGCTTGTTGTCGTACCGCAGGTGAGGTGGTACTCGGGTATCGATATGGTACTGCGCCGCGACATCGTGCTTAACCAACCAAGGTGCGCCAGTCCATGCTTCTCGAGTCACCGTCTTCTTAATAAAAGATCGCAACACTGATTTGGTGAAAATCTTTCTGTCGCGGTAGACATGATCACCATCCATGACAGCTTCCTCACCGGGCCTACCGTCAATGCTGATCATGTAGCGTGAAAAGGGTTGTGTGAGTGTTCCGTCCGGTAGGACTTTGCTTCCTAGACGAGCTTTGTCCCTGACAGTTCCTGCTACCCGCTCCCCATTCATTAGCTGTACCATGACTGACTCTCCAGGATAGTAATCAGCCTTGAACTCGTCGTAGATCATATCTACCAACGTGTCAATGCGTGAAATCGTCTGAAACTGAACACGGCGCAAAACAGGGGCCTTGAGAGCTTCAGGGAATGCCTGGTCAACTTCTTGTGCGCCAGCAAGCTATACTACTAGTTAGAGGAATGCGACGCATATGCGATAAGATCTTCGATGAACCCACCTCGCTCTTAAGAGCCTCAAAGAAAGATAGACCAGAGTGACCTGTGATCTGACAAATAAACCGAGGCTAAATACATATGTATATGTTAGCCAACTACTAAGGGGGCAAGCAAAGTCCAATCGGGATACCAACCTGATTATAAAAGTCCATACTAGTTAAGAATAAGTTAGCATAGTAAACATCAGATTATTTCAAGATTAGGAAACTTACCGATTTAGGTAGTCTTCGTAGGTGATAAATATCTCCCCTGTTTGGGGGATATGCCAGACCTGAGAGGTGTTAGTTAGGGGTGTGCAAATGTGTGAAAGCTGAGGATGTATGCTACCTCTATGGACTCATCTTCAACCGGCGGGGTTTGCAGAAACTGCACCGGTTTGCGCTTAAATAGGACCTGTAAAAGTTCAGCTGTTATATCTCCCGGTGTGTGATTGTATAGTCACGACTTACCATTGTGCCTATCGGCTCTTGAAAAGCCAAAGGTTGTTAACTAGCCGCACAATGAATCCTGCAAGGCTGAAAGTCAGCCTTCTGTCCGGGGTGGCGCATACAAGTTGATTTTCCAGCAATAGTGTAAATGTATTTATATAATGTTGAATAGTGGAAGCTGCTTTTCTAATGTGTTGTTGTGAAATCGGGGTGAATGCAAAATGTGGTCACGGTGCGGGAAGGTGCAAGGTTGAGATCGAGGGTAGGGTTGATAAAGCGGGCGTGGGCATGGGCGGACTTACATGTGAACTTATCAAATATAGTAGGAACGCGGTTGAAATTGTACGAGACGCGTCAAGATAGTCTTGGACAGCCCGGTGCGTTGAACCAAATGGTGGTTGCAGGCGACGAAAAAAGACTGGATTGCGGACGCGACGGGATTAGTTGTTGTTTTGTAAAAGATTTGTAGAAGGGGAGGAGAGGAGAGGACTAAAAATAATAAGGCGAAGGGCAAGGAGGAAGAAGGGAAACGCTACCTCAGGTACCTTATGTACGGCAGGCGGGAAGCAAGAGCCAGACCCCGGGAGACGGGGGTTAAGCCACTCAACTTTGTTTTCTTATTGGCTTAACTTAGCTCCGCAAGTGGGTCTCTTTCGCTTATTTGGGATGGGCCTCAAAGTCGTGTCCACCTTGAATAACCACTCCTACCTACCCCATCGTCACTCTTTGCTCCCTACGGTCCCAGAATGCAAACATTCAACAACATTCTTATACTCGTTCAAATCGCCTATTCTAGACAATTCGAACGAGTACGGAATCTGTCACATTTAACCATGTATTCGTAAAATACCTACGATATAAAAGCAACCTAGAGTCATGGGTCTAATATAGGGCCAGCTTATGTCAAATTCCCTCGATCTCGATAATCATCCTCGAAAGCACTTTTCAAGCCAACCACATGTCGGAACAGGGTTCTGGATAACTCAAATTAAAGCCCACTCTATATTCTACCTAATTGATGAATTGTGTATTTTTATAGCTAATATTGCTCCGAGTGCGGCTATATATCAACGTTAGGCCTTCTTAACAACCTATTCATCTAATCCATGTATAGGTCCTTATGCGACTAAAGTGGCAATTCCCTAAGCAATCTCTAGCATTTTCCGCGCATTCTTTTCCGCTCTTGATGAACCGGATATCATGTGTCAATTAAGACGTCCTTGTTTGGATAACCGGGTAGTTCATTGAGATCGGTAGGCCGTCGGTGAGACTGGGCCTTAACAAGCCTGCCAGGGAATTTTAGTCACCACACCTATGTACATACATGTATGGTTGGCACCAAGCAGCCCACAACCCCCCCTGGGTACCTACGTAGGGAGAGCTAGTCACCTGTCCTGCTTAAAACCTAGCCGAGGTTCCCGACCAATACCTACTATTCAAAACACATTTCATTTTCAGAACGTCCAAACCATGTCACGGGAGAACAATTGTTTAACTTTATATTTACTCCAGTTGAACCTAACATTAAAGACATAAAACTCCCAAATAGCATTGACTAGTCTACGAGGCAAAATATACCACCATAAACCCTATCCAACTACCAACAACCCCTATTGCTGAATACGAACTCATGAACATTAGAGGCAGAAATTCGTAGCTCTTGCCAAATATGATTTGGTGTAACAATGAGCAGTATACGATCAGCGGTATGCTAACCGTGATATAGAGAATAGTAAAGCGGTCAAAGAGGAAGAACCTCGGCCGACTTGAAGCCGGAGCAGTGCGATCAAACACCATCAGAAATAGAACCAACCAGAATATGGTGTAAACTGTCTTGATCGGAAACTCGGCAGGAGTAAATAGCAGCGGGAATAGCGAGACATGGCCGGATACTGCCAAGGGACGGAACGCACTAAGATGCCGCCGGTCCTTGAGAGCGATCAAGCTGAAGGGAATAATGACGAGGAGAATGGCTTTTTCATGAACATGCCATCCAAAGAGGAACGACGAGTAGCCGCAGAGAGTGACTGCTCCAATGAAAGCATCCCAGTTAGGACGGGAAAACAGCCTCACGAGGGGTATGGTTTGAAATAGGAGAGTGAGCGCAAAGCATATCCTAGGTGTAATCTCGGGAAGTACTGCAAAAGCTGTATCCCCAACTAGGCCTCTCGTAACGCTATTAATAGCCTCCGACTTAACCGGCAATCCCAGCCGTGGCGCAACTGGGTTTGTCAGTTACTAAACATTATATATAGAGAGGGTGCTACTTACCAAATATCAACACTCGATCCGCAAAGGAATACATAGCCCATACGTTTGGGGCCCAGTACGCATGGCAGAGCCCACGGGAGAATGGGAATAGCCTGCTTAGGATCTGGGGAATCTGGTTCTTGAGCGCAAATGGCCCGAACGCTAGTCCGAATACGCCGATGATGCCGGATCCTAACTTTAAGCAGTTAAGGAATTGGATACGAAAGATGGACTTGGGTGAGAGGCAGTAGGTTCTAAGAAGGTAAACGAAGTAAGCTGGCGCAAGATAAAGATATATATGCTTCATGCATAACAATGCTGCGAACACGATGCCACTAGCTAGGAGGCCTGTCTTTTGACGGGCCAAGACCAAGGATAAGATCAGGACGCCGTACATAGCCCCGTTATACTGAAAGTGAATGTGGTCTATGATGAGAAGGCCAGGAGAGAGCAGAACTGAGATCGCAGCAGCTTGAGCTGCACGCTTGGTCACCCCATGCGAAGACTCGACAAATCTACGACGTTATGTTAGTGCCAGAAGCCGAGCAGCGGTACAGTTAAGACATACAATTGCAGGGCGTATATCAGAATCAACTCTGTGGCAATGACTGTAAATCTCTGGAAGTAAACAGTTTGCCAACTATCATAGCCTAGATTGTAAACCCGAAGCATGGCCGGGTCAGCCAGCTTTGCTGCCTGAGACATAATCCATTCGAAGTAGGCGAAAAACGGAGGATAGTCCAAGGTCCATTCAGAAGTCTCTTCGTAATACCATTCCCATATTGGTAGACTATTCGTGATAGCTAACCAATTCCTATGTACTTCAAAATCGGTGGATTTACTTTGAGTAGTTTAGCTGTTAGATTCTCTGGGGAGTGAAAATGGTATAATAATATGCACTTACTAGGCCGGGAATAGGAGGATCTTGAATGCGGTTGCAACTATTGCGCATTGCGCAAGAGTAGGATATGTCTCAGTCATTTGGGTTTGGATTCATGACCAACACTTTCTAAATTTTAGGGCTTGGCGTTGTCTGGTAACCTTTCACGATGCAAAAGAGAGGAGATGGCGTTGTAGCGCTGGGGCTTAGTTGAAGAATTGAAGTCAATTGAGGCTAGGATGACAAGCTCCACAGGATCGGTACGTATTTTTACCGACGTGCGACATCCCTCGAAAATCTTAACTAAAGTCGAAAAGGCAAGGGTCCGTGCATCCCTTTTTAGTTGACCTTTTATTCCACACCTTCCACATTCCACACATTCCTTGCCTGCCACACCCACATACCCTTTCCAGCTGCCGCCTTGCCTGCCCTTGTCGGCTACGTAGAACATGAAACAGGGATCAAGTACCGAGTACACACCTGCTGCGACGTTAGGACGTTAGCGCGAAAGAGGTACTCAGGTACCAATTTGTTTCAAGCCTCCAAGTTCAATTAGCCTAGACTAAAAGGAATAAGGGAAACAGTTACACTTGCTCCTTTCTGGGGGAAGGCTGTGAAGGTTTGAGCTATCCACACTTCCAGTGCACAATCTGTCTTTATTTTTTTAGACTTTTTTCCCCCTTGAATCAATTACATGGATTGCTTTTAACTTACCTAAGAGCGATATTCATCAGTGCTTCTGCTTGGTCCAACAGGCAATCTTTCTTTTCAATTCGGTTCTTTTTTCTCTTCTTCCTATTCCTACATAGGTACCTAGGTAGTTAAGCTCCCCGCCTCTCTTGAGCTCAGGCTCAGATTAGGACAGCTTTGGTGCAAAGTGTCCTTACGAAAGTCACGAACTACCTATTTTGTTCACTTCGTGTATTCTCCCACCCCTACCCAAAAAAGGCTAATTTTTCAATAATCACCTTAATATACCTATTGCATTTACCAGGGAAAGCTTCTTGTCTTATTAATTCTATTTCAAATTTCAAATCGAAGCATGCGTTTGTTACGATCGTCAACCTTTGCCTTTGGGCTTGCTACAACCGCGAAATTCGCTGATGCTCAGGCGCAATTCCTTGTCAACGAGCTAAGCTTCGGTTACACTGGCAGGTGAGTTCTCGGGGAGAAGATCAAAGAACATCTTCTAGCGGATAAAAAGTCTGACAGAAGCCCGCCAGAATAAATGACCGAGGACAAGCAACTGTGCCAGGCTTCTCCATACAGGGCACACCAGACGTACCTGAAGTCCTTTCCAACAAGTTGATCCTTACGCCACCAGCACCCGGTAATACTCGAGGCGCGATATGGGCAGACCAACCGAACAGGTATTCGACGTGGGTGGCCGATGTCGATTTTAGAGTGAATGGACAAGAGAGGGGCAGTGGAAATCTCAACATCTGGCTTGCAAGACGAGGTAACCAAGAAATTGGCTCGTCTAGTGTCTACACAGTCAACAGGTTTGACGGCTTGGCCCTTGTGATTGACCAGCACAGCGGATCGGGTGGCATGATTAGGGGGTTCTTGAACGACGGCACCATCGATTTCAAGTCGCATCAGAGCGTTGACAGCTTAGCCTTTGGACATTGCAACTACCCCTACCGTAACTTAGGTCGGCCTTCTCAGATCAAGCTAAGGCAAACGCCCCAGGTATTCAAGGTGGAGGTTGATGGTAGGCTATGTTTCGAAAGCGATAAGATCAGCATCCCACCAGGATACTACTTCGGTATCACAGCCGCGGCGGGAGACAACCCCGATTCATTCGAAATCTTTAAGATGGTGACCATGACCGAGAATCTTGACGCTAAATACGACGCACCTCCACAGCAGCAGCAGCAGCAGCAACAACAACAGCAGCAGCAACAGCAACAGCAGCAACAGCAATCAAACCAGAACCAGGCGCAAGCACAAATGAGCTATGGTCGCAACCCAAATGCCCGGAATAACAACCCCAATGAAGCAGATGCTTTTGGCGACTCTATTCCCGATACTGTTGCCAACACCTACACAAGCTCCGAGGCTCAGTTCGCAGACCTTCACAACCGTATACAGAGCTCTAACCAGCACCTCTCAACTATCTTCCGTCAGGTCGCAAGTCTGGGAAGTATCGGCGAAAAACGACACGAAGAAGTCTCGAAGGCTATCTACGATGTGAAGCAGATCTTGTCGAAGCTAGATAGACTCGACTCGCTTCAGAATGAAATTACCAAGCTACAGCGGGAACTCAAAGACATGCGAAGCGACATCAATTTGAAGGTGAAGGACTCGGAACACGCGGTGAAGAGTTTCATAGGCACAAATCACGGTACCATGTTAGAACACGTCGCGGTGCAGGCCGCCCCGAAGCACGGGAAGCTCATCTTCGTCATCATCGGGAGCCAGATCCTAATAGTGGTTGCTTACATCTACTACGAGCGGAAGAAGACCATGCCCAAGAAATACTTATGATGGATCTAAACAGTTATTTGAGGCGGGGCTGGTGAGGCGAGGCAAGGCGCTGGGTAGAACTTTGTATAAAATATCTGGACGTGGGATAGGGGTTTGCATGACTGTGTTTTTGTCTAGCGCATAAATGAGAATTTCAATGAGGCGGCGTTATCCTAAACTAAACATTTGAAGTGTGACGACAACTCGATATTACCCCCCATATGTCTCTCTTGTACTATTTGTACTATATACCGAAAAGAAAAGGGGCTTTATTATTGCGCGAGATCTCATCGTTTTTCCTCCGATTGCATTTTATAAAATATGAAGTGTTCGCGAAATCTACGGTAATCTTGTTATAAAGGTCGAATTAAATCCCAACCGAAACCCGAAAAGACGTCGTAAAGCCAACGATTACATACATGTGGATAAGATACATCATATACAGCAAGCTGGTTTCCCAAACGCCTATTCCCATCCATCCCTTGTATGAGCTATGTATAGGTAGGTACCTTAGGTAAGTAAGGTATGCGCAAGTAATGACTGACGAAGTAAAACAAAAGAAACCCAAAAATTACATAACTACCTCCTAGGTATATATCCTCGCTTGCTTGCCTATTTATTCATTTAGTTTATCCCGTTCGTTTTCCTATTCGTTTCTCTTCCTCTTCCTCTTTCCCTTCATTTTTATTTTATTTTCCCCCTTTATTTCCCTCCGCTGATCTACCCCCCACCCCTACCCCCTATCCCCTCCCCTATCTAGCGCATCCATCTCACGCATACCCCATCATGCGCAACAACTCGGGCCCCTTCGGCGCCGTCGTCAGGTCCTCGTACCCATCCGACGTGACGAGCACGCAGTCCTCGACGCGCACGCCGCCGACGCCCCAGTAGCGCTCGAGCGCCGCGGCGTCGATGTACCGCGCGTGCTCGGGCCGTCGCAGGAAGTACGCCTCGACGTACGGCCGGCAGAAGTAGATCCCCGGCTCGACCGTGACGACCATGTTGGGCTGCAGCGAGCTGCGCGTCGGACGCTTGGATTTCTTGTTCTTGGGTTGGGTCTGGGGCTGGGAGATGGATTGTTGTCGTTGAGGGGGGGATGGTAGGCGTCGGGGTTGGGGCTGGGGTGGGAGGGGGGGGTTGATGTCGCCGTTGATGGTGGCGTTGCTGTCGCTGTTGCTGCTGTTTTTTCTGCTTTGGGGCGGCGACGAGGGTGAAGTCGGTTCGGCTGTTGTGACTTCTACTGGAGGTGGAGAGGGCGATGATCGTGGCGGGAGAGGTGGATTTATAGATTGTGTTGGCGAGGATTCCGTCAGTGTGGATGGCGATTGTGGATCCTTCGACGTGCTGGCGGCGGTGGTGCTGGTTGGCGACGAAGGCGTAGGAGGAGCGTTGCTTGCGGCTTGCTTGATCATGGCGCGTACGGACTGAGGGCCGATGGGTCGGCGCTTTCCCCACATACCTTCACCGGCGGGACGCAGGAGATCTCTGCTAAGAACGCTAGAGGAGAAAATACTGTTACTACGACTGACATACGAAGTGATGGGAATAGGGGGTTGTTGTTGTGGATATAATAGGGTAAGGGGTTTAAAGGGGATTAGAGGGTAGGTAAACAGGGAGGAGGAAACCAACTCGTGAACGTCAAGACCAACGTGGTGGCCGAGGCCGTGCGGGAAGAAAGCGGCACCGGTGCCGTTCTTGAAGATCTCTTCGGCAGTCCCATTGTGCAATATTCCAAGCTCTAGTAGACCTTGGACGGCAATAAACGTCGCGTGCAGTTGCAAATCGCGGAAGATGACGCCCGGCTTGATGCGCCGAATGCACTCTTCCTGCATCCGGTGGACAAGTTCGTAGATAGCTCGAGCCTCCAAGTTGAAGCGGTAGCGTGGGCCTAGAGGAAGGGTACGTGTTATATCGCTAGCGTAGCAAGACCACTCGGTACCGGCATCAAGCACCACAAGCTGTCGTCCCGCGAGTGGCTCGCTGTTAGCCTCGTAGTGCAGAGTTGAAGCATTGGGGCCGGACCCAGCGATTATAGGGTAAGCTTGCGCTTTCGCATTAGCCGCCCTACACGCCGCGGCGAAGGCGGCCTCGACTTCACATTCATTTTTCATGGTGCCCAGCTGTAGAGCGACCTTTTTGTGTGCCGCCGACGAGATTTCGTTAGCCCTACGAATCATAGCTATTTCATAGTCGGATTTGATAACCCGCGCTTCATCCATCGCTGGCTGAAGCGACGTGACGTCGATCTTGAGTGACGGCCGCAACTGTTCGAAGCCATCGAATTTGGGCAGCTGAGCTGAGCGAAGGGCGTAAAGAGACTTGATCGTAGTCAACCGTGCGCTCAGATAAGCCGGAAGCTCGCCGATGTACTTGACATCATGAACATCCGACTTCGTGATACATTCTTCCAGCGTAGGCGTCTTCCCGAACCAGAGGATCGTGGCCGGAGGTGTGAACGGTATCCATAACGTGAGTTTGTCCGCAGCGATGTCGTATGTCACGCTACAGCCCGGAAAGTCGGCACCGGTCAGATAGTAGAAACTGAGTGCTTCAGTCAGTCTCGGGGATATTTAGAAGGAGGTTGATACCATTTGAAGAGTACCTAGGTAGACATACTATCGGCGTTGCCGGAACGGAGGCCCTTGATCCGAATCTTCCCACGTTGATTCCACCTGACCCGGCAAATAGATAATTCCATTATCGGCTCCAAGCTCCTTAGCAACCTTCCTCGCATGTTGTTTGGCTAAGCATTGTTAGAATATATTCCTGAAAGTTTCCTATAGACGGGCAAGAAAAGAAAAGAAAATAAAGATTAAGGATTATGAGACGTAGATCTGGTATAGGTAGACGGTGTAGTATGCTCAGAAAGATGATGATGTGGTGCAACCGTATATGTTGTATCATTCAGTCTAAAAAGAGGCTGGGTAACGTGTAATGTATCCTTCAGGGGCTAGCATCACCCTTGTATTGTTCAAAAGATACATGCAAGTTGAACCGCGTTCAAACCGTATAGTTATATGCAAACATATAATGGTACAATACAGTTGATGCAATATACTGATATACTGAGCTACCAACACTATATCGTCGGTGTGTAGCTCGAAGGAATATGATTTAGTTAGGTTGGAACTCACCAGGGTATCTCCTAAGACCTTCGTCGGCTTTAGCTTCTAATTCCGCGACGTTAACTTCGATAGATCTGTTCCCGATAACCTCTGTCAGCGGTATCCTAGACAGAAGTGGAATGCTGAGCATGACTGCGACGGCAGCAGAGACGGCGCTGTGCACCAAGCCCTTAGTTCTGCAGCGGAACTGATGAAGGTCCATTGTGGTAGACATTGTAATTGTCGGTGAAGCTAAGGTTAGAAAGGGCTTCGGGATAGCAGTAACACGTACAAAGCATCAAATTCCTCAACGACAACCAGATCGTGCTCGATATCTATAGCCTCCATCTTGAAAAAACTTTCCGTAAACTTAGTTGTTGTCTGACGAGTAGAGCAACGACAGCATCGTCAGTGGGGTGTTGTCATTGTTGTACTAACTATAATATATACCCCCCGGGCGTAATCGTATTATACGGCTGAAGCGGCTGATCTTATTCGACAAAATAAGCTTATGCAACAGCTTAGCTGGTTCAACCTGGTTGGAGGCTTGGGCGATCTCACGTGGCGAAGCTCGGTTCGCATCGCAGCACCATACCTATAACTAATTTACACGTACCAAGCAAATATTTCCCTCGAAACAATCATAGCCAAGACCACCTCCAGAAGCCAAGTGATCTGTCTAAGGCCGTCGTGCAGCCCCTCAGGAAGCCCGAAGATCCTCAAGCAGTGGCCTATGTCAGCCCCAGACTTACTTGTTATCTTACTTGGCCACTAACTGGACCAACAAGAGGTATACCGACGTAACCCCTTGCTTTTCTTTCGAGCTCATTCGTCTCGGATTTTAGCTCCGAGGGTTGGGCATATTTGGGAGCTAACTTATCGCTATGACGGTCTGGCCTGCATCACCAATAAAGGCCACTTAAGCTGACTTTATTACAAGGTGGCCCGTAAATGGCACAAATGCCAAGTTATGTGCCTGATTTACACATTTTATATACATCATTGAGCATAATCCGCGACGAGATGCTCTCCCGCCGTGTCTCTAAAAGATCCTGCTCATTGTCTCTGTTGAGGGTATAAGACTCGCCTTGGATCATAGATATCTTAGATGACGTCCATAGAACGAAAATTCATCAACTGCAATATGTGACTGTCCATATTCGGCGTCAATCATCAATGTTTTGATTTACCTATGCCAAACTCCAATCCCTTCCATCATCTAAGAAAACATCCGTGGATGTCGCAATTATGCAGAGGGGTATCCTTTTTCTACTCACAAACCTAGTCCATTCCATGCTAGGGAAATGGCTGCCACGACGTATTGGCTAGCAACTCTTCCATCTCCCCCGGTTGTTGACCCCGTCGCCGCGCCAAGTGTAATTGGTCTGATTGAAGTTGGGGGTGGGGTGAATGCCGGTGTTCTAAAGTGTGCATCTGTAACAGCATTGGATCCGAATACATCTGCGCTGGGAAGTTGAAGCCTGGTTGAGCTTGCGACTGCATTAAGTATGGCGGCAGCGGTCCCATAAGCTGTCCTTCGATGCTATCATAGAAATTAGGTATATAGTACGGAGCAGGGCCGTGGTGTGACAGGTCTCCTGGACTACCGCCCGGAACGCCTGACTGATGAGTGCCGAAATCAAGTTGGGGTTGGTTGGGATATTCTAAGGGGTCGTCCGAGGGAAACATGACTGCATCTAATTGGTGGACCGGATTGCCTGCACTGAATGCTGGATGTTGCAAATCTAGAGGGCTAGGCTCATGTAGGGCCGCGGCCGTTGCGGAATCGGGGGACGGTATCGGTAAATCTAACGGCGAGAATTGAAAACTGGAGGTAAATGAGCCGCCAAATTCTGGCTGTGGTAGGGAAGAATTGTCAACAGGGATGACTTGCGGGACGAGCCCAACTGGAGTCTTTCCAGCCTTTTTCGACGATTTCCCCCGAGGCTGATTGGGTCTCTCGGGGAGACGCTGTATTGAATCGTTTGAATGTGCTGGAAGCGGCATCGCTATATCATCATGTGCTCCTGATGCGGGACGTTTTAGAGATGTCGTAGTGCTTGCCTGCTTAAGGCTCTTTGGTAATTGGTCAAAGAGTATCTTGCTAGGATTAGCCACATCTCGCTAGGTTTATCATAGAGTCCCAACTTACAGCTAGAGATTGGGATATGCGGTCTGCAACCAGGCTTTTTCTTGAAAGCTCTTCAATAATCTCTTTCCCGGCTATAGCATCTGCAAAAATCTCCATGGACCCTGGTTTGTCTTGATTCTCTAGCACGAAGAAGACTAGCGTTATGATAGCGAAGAATTCGGTGAAAAGAGTGAACCAATACGGTCCTACGAGAGAAACCTGTTTTCGCATCTCTGACCCGATGTGTACGATGTTTCGCGCGACACTAACACCAGCGGCTCCGCAAGCGTAGGCACGTTCATTTACATCCTTGCCGGCCGTGATGCGTGGAGAAACGTAATGCAGGAATGGCCTATATAATACCATCTGGATATGAGCGTAAGTAAACCTCAGTAAGTTACGCACCCTAGAAGACCACTTAGTAAGCGCTCGAGTTCAACGTCTTCTCTAGGAAGAACTTACCGAACAACTTCAATAGCACCGATAGAGTTCGGCCGCCAAGCATCCGGCAAGTCCTCATTCCATTGTTGAAGCTCTTTTTCGATTTCTTTTATTTTCCCATAGCTGATCATATATGACGCGTAAGGCTCTCCAACACCTTCAGCCTCGCTCTGCTCCATACCTTTCAACGGGTAAACATTTTTAACAACCTTACCCAGAATATCCATCAGTCGTACGTGCGCATTGAAGGCCTCGAGGAAAGACGGAGTCCCTGGAGGCGGGATGAGTATCTTGTCCTTCGTGATGTACTCGTCGTCCACAGGGGTTGGCAAAGGCTGGTCAATGTCCTCGTCATTTAGAAGCAGCGGGAACCCCAGTAATGCAGACACATACGTATCCATCTGCCTACATATATAGAAAACCCTTCGTCTCGTTTCAGCCTCTATCGGATTTAGTTTAATGTGAGGTAGGTGTCGATGTAAACCCATCCTCAACGCAGATCGTAAGGCAATCCCTACAAACCCATAACAAGTACTTAAATTCGATATCGACTGGATGAACAGTATCATAAACAGTAGAGCTTGAAGCGAGGGGAGGTCTCGGCACTCCGTTATATCTTGCAGAATGGCTCTTGCACTGCTATAATATTTGATCCTAAAAATGCATAAGTTAGTCGAGGTCAGAGAAGCCTAAAAGGGGGGCCATAATATTACGCTTCGTCCATCGCGGCCTTGTACGGTGGCGTTTCCGAATTATCATTTTCAGGTATGTTATACATGCAGCCAAGGGCCATGACAGAGTATGCTAGCGCTAGACTCCTTTTGTTCTCTGTCCCAGCTGCGCCTACCGGTTTTTCGTATAGGTCATCCAACATCTTGTAAAAAGAAGGGACATGGACGATACGCAGAAGACATGTCGCGTTATTAAGTGACTCGGAACATAGCGCAAGTGCCCTCTCCTTTAGGGGTAAGTCGTAAGGGGGTGTAATACGACTTGGCGGCGCTCGTGAACTTGACGGGGGTCTTGGGGGGTCTAGAGTGAGGACGCCAACAGGTCGAGGCGGGCGAGGAAGAAACGGCACCTGATAATCTCTGCCTAGAAGACCACGAAAATGCTCCTTCATCCTCTTGAAGAAGACCGAACCAGACGAGGTTCCGTGGAAATCATAGTTGCCCCTGTCGTCGAGGTCGAGTTGGCCAGCGGTTTCGATCATAGAATGTAACTGGGCGTCTACAGAAGACGAAGAGCCTGGCTGCTTTCCCTTAGTTGTCGAGGACCGTGTTCTGGCTTGCTCCCGGATGCGAAACTCCTGTTGAACTGCAGGATCCAGACTTGGATCGTTGAGGTCGACATCTGGCATGAATCTGCGCAGCAAGTTCTCTGCCCTCGATAGCTTATTTTCTAGAGCCTCTATATACTGCGGAGCCGGATTCCTGCGCCTGTTGGAAGGCTTATCGTACGTACAGTCTAACAATAAAACATCAGCCGGCAAGGAAATAGCTAAAGAATGCGGGTAAAGATTACCGTAGCTATACACCTGACAATGGGTGCATGGCTGCTTGCCATCGCACTTTATCTTTTTCCTACGACATTCACTGGAAGAAACTAGGTTAGTATTTAGATCTTTAGATGTTGCTTAAGCGTCGAGGTGAAGATATCTGACTGGGAAGCTCCGGGTGACACTAGACACGCTCACAAAAGAGACATGTTTTAGAAGGCAACCAAAGAGGGATCAGAGCAGAAAAATGGAGTTTAAAACTGCATACTCGCATGCGCGCGTCACCCTCCGGCGCTTCTGGAGGGGAGCAGACGGGGTTTCGCTAGAACTTTCGGCATGGCTACCTTGAGGAGCAGAGGCTGGAGTCTCCCCGGCTGGAGAGCCCGTTTCCAAGGCTTGCAGGGAAGATTCCTCTTCGTCAGATACCTGGCCGTCTACGGTTTCGGGCTTAACGGATCCTATGCGATCAGCAGGGGTGCGTGAAGAGCGAGAAAGAGGTGTCATGTCCGGTCGATTGTGGGTGCCGAAAATGGCACCCTCCTAGAATACGTGAAGAATAACCCGGTGCCGTCTTCTATCGCTTTAATTCATATGTTTATGAGATAGGAGATGTGTTCTAGCGCATTTTCGAAGCTTGAACGCTTGCTCTTGGGCAAACTAATTATATCGAACAGGTACCACAATACAGGGCAGAAGTTGCTTTACCTATATGAAAAGAAGTCAGTAATGTAAGAGGGGGTTGGCCCAATTGAAGCTTCGTGAATAGGCGGGAGGATTAGATAAATAGCCTCGGCATTAACCAGAAACGCGAAAGACAAATTAATAAGGTAGAAGAAGAATAAGTAAAGACATGTCCTTATTAGAGTACGAACATCTAGGATAGACCGTTGAGTTGAAGTAAGTGAGTAAGAGAAAAGTAGGGTAGAGTGAGATGGGACCGAAGGCGCTGATGCAGTAGCGTAGGTCATAGCATCCATAGCATAGGGCGCCTAAGATTAGAGGTAGGTAGGACAAAACCTCTACCTCCCTCCTCCTATACATGAGAGATGCAGTAGGCTACCTCAGTTTTGCTATTATGTACATACTTTAGGAGGTAGTGTAGGAATTGTATGTAAATGTTGTCTTTTTTCTTCTTCGTCTCTTCTTCCCTTGCCAGTTTGAGAGATAGATATACATAGGTAGGTGTGTAGGGCTACGGGTAAAAAGAGGGTGTACTAAGAAGATCAGGTACCTACCGGGAGAGAGTAATGGAGTTAGGTATGCGCTTGTTGTCTGACGTCCTGTAGTGACCTGTAGCGACCTGTAGCGAGTATGGACGACGAACAAACACAATGATCAAAACGGGATTGAAATGAAAAGAAAAAGCGGTCGGTCGGCATAAACCGATCCAAGGATAGAATTGATTGATAGGGCCGATACCGTTTAGGCCTAGTAACTTTTAAAAACTAATGAGATATCGGATGGACAACTAGGATATACTTCTCCTATGGCACTTTGCGAAGAGTAAATAATACGATGAACGAGAATCTAAAGCCAATTCGTCTCGTCTCTTAGAGGCATTTCAAGGGGGGATGATGGAACGCTTAAGAAAAAAGACATGGTGGCTCGAGTGGGGAGACTATGCAAATAGAAAGGCGCTTAGCTAGATAAACCGGGATGGTAGGTACTGCTTTTTGCAAGGCGGGGCGAAGCTGCTCAGAAGCTGGGCAATCCCTGCATTGTACATCTAGTTGATAAATGAGCCGGATGGTACTTCCTTGCGAGTCATGACGAAGTAACAGGCTGGTTGTCGCACAGATTTGAACAGACATGTACTCCGATTTACACTAGTGACTTATGCATACTTAGGTACACACGTGTAAGCAGTATATGTACATAGAGAGATGGATATATCATGGAAGCACTGGGCAAAGACATCTTCACGAATAGTATATTAAAGTAGGTTAGTTACTGGAATAGATTTCTTCCTTGATTATTTACTTAATCTAGTAACCCGAGTATCTCCGTACAAAAGAGTCATTACACATTTCTAATCTATAATCTTGTTACATTAGTATAGAAAAGCTTATATTAATTACATGACTGTATTAGCGTGTAAGTAACACTTAACATTATCAACACCATAAGCAATCACGGATAGGACTAAATATTACATACCTACGTGTTCGAACGTACGAGTTAAAGAAATGGTCTATCTCCAACAAAAGGACGCACGTAGCAACTTTTTGGTTGGAGAGCACCAGCATACATGCCGTGGAGCTGACAGGAGGCCTCTGGGTTTAATGACATACGCAAATAGGTAACATCAACATATCTTAATTCGATGTCAACTAGTGAGGCCTCCCAGATACAGTAGGTCCGTTTAGATGAAGTTAATAGAGTTAGGGTTTCCACATAAGATCGGGTTATTCGGTTCATCAATAACTACATAGATCTCTCCAAACCGAGTTTTCTTAAATTACGTATGTTTAATGAGTTGCTCTTGGCTTCGAGTCTAGAACATGTAGATAGTTTTATGGCTAACTTCCACCAAGCTTCGATCGCCAAGTATATACATACCTTAGGTACTTTTACTTACAAGGCTAGATTACCAGACCATGACTTCAAGTTCTATAAATGCGTAGGTCATCTCCATACCCATATGTACCAATGCCAGTTCCGTTCCTTTTCTTCGAAGCGAGCTATTCTCTTCACTCATTATGCTTTGATAAATACGATGACTCTAAAATTACTTGTTATGACGATGCTCAGCCCGAGTATTCGGAGGGGTTTTAGCGTATAATACATAAACGGCGGCTATGGACCCTCACAATGACACCTTCTCTCACGTCGACTACATCATAATCAAGTTTACCAGCCAGGAACACAAGGTATCATTACAGGCCATTGCAGGTCTGATCACCATGTATAGAATATACATACGTACGCGGAGAGCCCGTATCAGTGGTCTTGGCACGCCTCTAACCTCCAAAGCAATTTTCCCGCATGCATATTCGCGGAGCGGCGTTGGTCTAGTAGAGATAAGCCAGCATGCACCCGTAACTGACAAGATATATCATTTATATTATGTAAATGAGGCCAGGCTAAAACTCCAAGAAGATCTCTATTAGTGCATAGATAAATTGCTCTATTCGCCAACCAAGCATACTTTGCTTTGATATTCTTTTCTTTGCGTTTCATATTATTGACTATTATTGACAAGGACAGATCAATACCTACCTTCGTTCCAATTGTTATTAGGAGCTGGTATGGATTAGAGATAGATACCTCTTAGATCTCGGAAAACCGGCACACCGCCGTCTTGGCCCTCTCCACCGAAAAAGCTCTTGGTACCGGAATACGCCATGATTGGAGCTCGCGTCTCCGTGCAAAAGTGGACTTCAACCTTGGCAATATTCGCGATATGATTCTCATTTAGACCGTGGTAGAGAATACCAAGACCGGAGTATACCCATTCTTCCATGTATTTAAAATAATATACCTAGATACAATAGCCAGCATTAGTATAATATAATCATATTTGGATCAACTCATATCATTCAATTGGCCCAAAATATCTTTTCCCACATAGAATTTCGCCTATTTGAGTATAGTTATATTGGTGAAGTTTTAGAGTATAATAGGTTCCAGAGACGCGTTCTTACAACTCATATACAACTCATATTAAAAGGAGGTATGCAAGTATATTCGACGTGTCTACGGGGTATGTAGTACTGTTTGAGTTGACCAATAAGTTTGTTATGTAGGTAAGACATGTTGAAGTAATAGGTCTTAGATAATTGAACGTTCGTCTCGTGGTCTAGGTATATCCACCTTAGCCTCGTTGCTTGGCCTGTGGATCCAAGGTACGGGCGGGCTGGCGGGAGATGGAAGTATTCCAACTTGCCGGGAAGCCGTCCTATGTCCGAGGCAGTATTATTGATATAAGCAAATCTGATATATTTCTTTAGGCATCAAAGTGGAGTACTAATCTCAATTGTAAGAAACATCCCATAGTAAGAGCAAAGTATACAATTTATAAAGTATGTGATTTATATTAACGGCTCGGCAGGTTTATTATCAGATTGTGTACGGAATAGATTGTTGTGTGAATGTGGATGCATGAGGCTTTGGCAAGCTGAAGGCTGGGCTAGCTGCTTACCAAAATCAACAGCACGCGCTCCTGCTAGTGTTGCGAAACTCCACTTAAGCCTTACGTCCCCATGCTAGCTTGGTACGTACTGGTGTACCTGAATAACGGTCCAATAGAATACGCCACATGCATAGGGCGATAAGGTAAGTACCTAAGGTTGTCAGAACAACGTTAAAAAAGTATTAAAGCAAATAACATACCCTTTTTCAAATTTACCTTATTAACAAAAATAAGAAAAACAAAAATAATGAAAAACTTTTTTCGTATTAAACATAATCCATTAAATTTTAAATTAAAAGATGTCTCGTAAATATATATAAAGAAATGGTGAAGTTATTGACGTTATATTATAAGGTACTCCTGTTACATGATTAGAATGGGGTTTCTTTTTCTGAGGCGATTCGGCTTGTCAGGTCCAACGTGGGTGTAGCTACCCCGCCAAAACCGCCGCCAAAACAAGGTAGAGGCAGCTTTGACGTTCAGCCTTGGTACCTCTTTTTTTCTAATGCACATTTCCAACACACACCAGAATAACCCAAAACAAGGCATTCAACATCCTCAGTCTACAATAATTCTATTCCTCAGGCCCTCACACGCCCAACCATCTTTTTCACAGCATTAGGTAGCCAACAGATTAAGGTACAACTACTTGACCATAGGCCCTAATTTCTTGAGCGCCGGCATCATGGCAGCCGACCAGCACATCCTTACCTACTTTACCGCCATGGACAACCAGGACGTTATTATTGTCAGAGGTACGAAGTGATTTTCAAACAGGTTCTTCCGCAAGTCGCCGGGAAACTAACGTATTCTAGATGCTCCGAAGCTGGACCTTGATCTATACATTTCTAATTACAAAGGTTAGTGACTCTAGGTAACCTAGCATACCTATGTTACCCGTGTGCTTTACCCCGTTTACTTCTCATAGCCTTGTTTCACAAGCTCCCATGGTAATAGCTACTTACCTTATTCTACTAGGCCGTACCCGTTTCGACCGATTATTGTTAATTGGCCAATGCTCCGTACCTCTATGTGTCGATGCCCTCAAAGCTGCTGTGGCCGAAGCCAAGCGTGGAAAAGATATCCAGCGATACCGCGATGCTTTTGAATGCATTCGTGTTGCTGCACCCGACGAACCTGAGGCTAAGTGGGACGAGGCCTGGGTCACGGCAACAGGGAAAGCCAATAAGGCAGAAACTCACCGACTTGAAACCGAGCTGAAGGGGTATAAAAACAATTTGGTCAAAGAGAGCATTAGGGTATAAATCCACTTCCAACCCAAGAAAGTAATCAATGAGAATAACACTGACATACTTAGATTGGTCACCGCGATCTTGGTGAACACCTCGAGTCTATTGGAGATCTCAACGGGGCCTCCGAAACTTATATCAAGATGCGACCCGATGCTAGTACACAGTCTCATATCCAAGACGTAGGCAAACATATCATTAGCATTATGCTACAGAAGCGAGACTGGGCCGCTGTTCTAGCAAATGCGAATAAGGTCTTGGCTATGAGCCCAGGAAGCAACGAGCAGAATACCGAGCAACCTTATCAGAAGATGATTTATGGTCTTGCTCAACTTGGGGAAGGTCGATATTACGATGCTGCTAAGAGCTTCCTCGAAGTTGGGGATCCGATCAGCTGTCAGGCCCATAACGACGTCGCTAGTCTGAATGACGTCGCCACATATGGCGGGCTTCTTGCACTCGCTTCAATGGACCGATTAGAGCTACAGACTCGAGTTCTAGATAACTCTAGCTTTAGAAACTACCTAGAGCTAGAGCCACACATCCGCAAAGCTGTTAGTTTGTTCGTCAACGGACGATACTCGGCTTGCTTGGGAATACTCGAGTCATACCGAAACGATTACCTTCTCGACATCTATCTCCAGGCACATGTTCCTGCAATCTTCTCGCAGATTCGCAGCAAGTGCATTGTTCAGTACTTCGTACCATTCTCGTGTGTCACCTTGGAAAGTCTTAATGCGGCCTTTGCCAAACCCGGAGAGTCTATTGAACGAGAACTCATTAATATGATCAAAACGGGTGCTCTAAATGCTCGCATTAACACCATTGATAGGGTAAGTTAAGATGTGTCTATTGGAACTGGCGCGTTACTAAGATCTTCATTTAGCTTCTTGTTGCTGTCTCCACCAACTCCAGAGCTGTCATGCAGAAGAAGGCTCTGGATTCCACCAATAATTATGAAAAGGAAGTCCTAGAGAGAATTCGCCGGATGAACATCGTAGCGGCTGACCTAGAGGTCAAAGGCACTAGAAAGGCTGCTGGCATAGGAGCTAGCAATATCCCCGGCGTAGGCGACATCTGGACTGACGAAGCTAGGAGACAGCCGGCCTCCAACGACGCAATGTCTTAGGTGGTATTGTAATGAGGATAAGACGGCAATGATTCTAACGTATAGGGACGAATCATGTCTATTACAGGCAGTGAATCCCAACATTACGACGGGAAGTAGCCGGGGTTTAGAGAGAAATATGCATGGAGATGAACCGAGTTGTCACAGGAACACTTGTCATCACGGCTGAAAAGCAGCCAAACACAAAGGCACACAGCGGCATAATGAGGAGTTGCTAGGATACAGGCGTCACGGACGTTGCATTGCAGTTTCGATGGTTTTTTTTACAGGGAGGTTCTAGGGTTATGTCTGCATGGCATACATATTACGTCGTTCAAGAGCATGAGATTCGCAAATACCCTATGATGAGGTAGTCCAGGAATGAATGAATTAATTGATTGCTATTACCATATCATCCCATCAGCTGCCTGATATCTTCTGGAGGCCAGCGTACTTGCGCAAACGTTAGACACCGTTTGATGCTCTGCAAATATTTCCTAGTCACCTCGTCACTCATGATATGTCCCCGCTCACCATCATGTAATTTCTCCCGCGCGCTTCGCTCGTGGATACCCACCATGGTAACACCGATAGGCCACGCCGCCTTACCGATACTCAGGCGTAGATACCCGTCGTTGGCGTCCACGTAGCGGCGCTCCTGGGCGGCCTGGACGATTTCCACGACAGGCTTTAGGATGTCGTCCTCTAGCTCGCCCTTTTCGAACTTACGGAATAGCGGTACCATGTTGTCACGGCTCGATACCATAGCGTTGATAGCCGCCTTCCCGGCGAACGTATCGCGGTTCTCTTCCCGTGCCAACGCCACCTCCCACTCCCGCAGCACCATCGTGAAGTACGACGCTAGCTGCCGGAATAGATACTGCCGTCCTGCCTTGTCCTGTGGTATCGAGCTGTCTACCTTCATGTCTTTCTCCTCTAGCAGTTGCAGGGTTGTGGGTATGGGCCCGGCCGTCACGACGGTCGTGAGTCTTCGGTACCGTTTCAGTTTCGCGCGATGCGTCTCCCCGAATAACGTGGCGGGCTGGCCGAGTTCGCGCAGCTTCGAGACGAGTGCCTCCTCCGGGATGTCCTCGTCGCCCTCGGCGCCTGTGCTGCCTTCGCGGCTGCTGCTGCCATCTTCCTTGGATAGTTCGGGTAGCCCGAGGCGTTTCCGCCGCCGGCGCTCTTCCTCGGCTGCTTGCTCTTCTCGCCGGCGCCGCGTCTCTTCTTCTAACTTCCGGCGCTTTTCTTCGCGGGCCTTGGCCTCCTCGGCTGCTTCCTCTTCGCGCTTGCGCTTTTCGGCGGCTTTTGCCTGTCGCTTTTCCTCGAGGGCTTTTTGTTCTGCCCGGTACGCGGCTTCGCGTTGGGCTTCGGCTTCGGAGCGGCGTATGTATTTCTTGTTATTAGAGGAAGACGGGTCGCCAGCAGACGTAGGTGTTGTTGTTCCTGTGGCCTTAGCGAGCTCTTTGGACATAAGCGATGCGAAATCCATATTGGCGGATGGTTGCTCTGGCGAGATTTGCGAGCCCACCGGGTGGCTGGTAGAAGATGACGACTGCTTCAAAGGTGAGTGGAGGTCTCAGCTACGTGGTCCCAAGGAAAGCCGTGCGGATGTAGTGTGTATGTTGGGAGGATGGAGATCGCAGGGCGGCGTATGGGGACGAAGGTCGCAGGGTTGAATTGTTGTTTAAAGTGTCCAATAGGAGTCAACCCACTAAGGAGGTCGGCGAGTTTTTTAGTGGGAAAATACCGATCATACCGACTATCTAGCAGCAGACCACCTGCACGCTACGCTCAGCTAACGGTCTACCCAAGTTACATCATAAAGAGCCGCTAAACTGCCCGGGGTAAGTGGGGCTTCTAAAGTTTAGGAGGTAACGGTTAGTATTGTAGTATTTAACATTTCTAGCATCTCCCGCCATCATTATCAGCACATATTAACCCCCGAATCCCTGGACAGCTGGAATCTTATCAGCGAAGCTTTCGAGCTCCCGCGTTTGCTTGCTTCAAAAACATCGAAGCATATCATTCGTAGCCTCGTCGCTCCCCAAGTTTAAAATTTCCGAGCTTCCATCCATAACATTCCTAACGTCCCAGGAAGCGTATACATATAAGTCAATTTTACTAGTCGCAACAATATGATTTGAGTCTGAACAGAGTGTTCCTGCGAAGGTACCACTTGGGGGAAGTGATACCTCAACAATGGATCGTCACGCAACACCGCCGTTTATGCTACGGCTCTTTTATCGAACCGGCGCATTTCACAGGTAAGTAGACCATCATGGGGGTTCCCTGCGACGCTCCAAGAATAAGGGGGGACCACTCGAATGCTTATACACATCTTAGACCCGATGAGTTCAATACGTCGCAGCTCCCACCGCATATGCCAATATATACCTGGCCCGACTGCACCTTAACGGAGCTTACTTATATCATCGCTGCCTTGAAGCCGTCTCTCGTCCCTGACCCGGCCATCGGCACCCGTTTCGCATTCCGCCTCATCTTCCCAGACACGCGGAACACCTCAGGCCCGACGTCGTCCAAGTACACTGTTAAAGACTTAGGCAGCGTGATAGTTGGTAACGGGGGACGAGGATTGGACCCTGACGACCCGGAGGCTGAGAAGACGCTCGACTCTGAAGGCGATAAGACTCTAAAGGAGGCTAGGTTTGTCGTCGGTGATTTTATATCGTGCGCCATCCTCCCTCCCCTACCAGACGGTTCCGTTGCCCCTGTTTCTAGCGCAAGGGTTGGACGCAGTGCCGGTGCTAGCGAGCCCAGGGCAGCTGTAGGTCGTACCCCTAGTAGCTCCTTCAGCAGAAGAGAACAGGAGAACGGGCTCGACCGCTCTGGTAGACTAAGGAATAGCGGGAGGGGATACGACGGGTTTGGGAGTCGTGGTAGCATACCGATGGGCGAATGGAGGAGAGGAGAACGATTACCTGAGTCGCCCCCTGCAGGACGTGGTAGAGGGACAAGACGGACGTAGGACGCGGTCCTGGTAGAGACAACAGTGTCTTTTGGAAAGTGGTTAAGATAAGATCAATAACATATTTGGCGGTAACAGACAAAATATGGTATAGATACTGTCCCATGCGGACTTATAACAAAGTGAGTTGTTCCGACTCCGCAATGTCTCACTCGTTATCTTCTAGCCCCGTGTATTTACTGATTTCGATGCAAGCAGGTCGTCCTGTCTTGGCTCTCATGGCGGACGCAAATTGATACCCGAATGCTCCCGAGTGTTCAGCAAGGAAGTGATTGTGTATAGATACCCTTCAAAATTGTCTTGCAACTTGTTTCTGCTTTCCAGTTTTTACGGTGTGCATTTTCAGGGCTATAGATGGGGGGAGAACGGGCAATCAAGGAAGCATATTTGAAAAGTTTGGTTTGCGGTTGCTATTTTATCTAACTAATAGTATACGTTAGTATCAATTTGACTGGTTTTCGCTTTGAAGATATTTCCTATTCAAGTGATACTCGCTATTAAGAAACTAACCGCCAGTCGTCCAGCTATGCTAGCCGAAGGGATTAATTACCTTATATATGGAAACTGTTATTTTCAATATCATGATACATCCAACAGAGGAGAAGGTACGCTCTTATTGATGATTAGAATATATTTTTGAGAGATGTCTGAATGAAATATGCTGAAGAGGACAAGTGGCGGGTCTTTCAGGAGTTGTCGTTCGCATATCATATATATCACAACCTGGAGCTTCCATTGAAGAGTATACCATAACGTTAGGCACTAGAACCCTCTCGATATTCATTTTCAAGATCAACTTCGACATTGTACTCTTGAAAAGTAGAGGTACTGAGAAGTGTTCATTGGTCAAAGTCCTCGTTCAATTGCGGTAGTTTCGCCTAGCCCTATATACAGCTGTCCAAGCTTCTCCCACGCGAATTCTTTTCTTAGAACTCACTAATCAAGTCTCCCTTCCTCTTCACTCGAAAGTCGTACTTTCCCTACACGTCGGAGCTATGTCAGCAATCGCCGCATCTACATATATTTCCACGCCAATTCTAGCTAGGCAGGTTGAGTACTCACGTCGGTGGTGTATGCGATTGTGCCGAGGATGGCCGGCACGACGACGGCGTACATGAAGGTGATGCGGGCGGTTCGCGGAGTCCATCGGAAATACTTGTGGCGGTTCGTGGTCATGTCTGCGGATCATATCAGTTATGGTTTACCTCCTTGGCAGCCTTGCGCGATTCCTCCTTGTGCGTCGTGATTCATCGCGAAGTCCTAGGAGGAGGGAGGAGGAACGGGTAGACGTACTCCCCAGCTTCTGGATAGCCGGGTCCAACGACATGCCTGATATGAATGTTAGCTTCCTTGCTTATTGCCGCGGACGGGAATTCAATTGAGTTTTTGGGGTTGTATGTACGTACGGTAGTGCTCTACGCCAGCCATCTTGACAGAGGTAGGCAGTTGCCGTGCACTAGATAGATGGGTGTTTAGGTGGTTGTTTTCAAGAGATCTATCTCGAGATTGATTGTAGCTTCAATTCGCTCTAGACGTCTCGGATGGCTTGAGGCTTGCAACGTAGGGGCCTTCGATTTTCAGCCTTATTGTGGCGTAATAAAGCTTAAGCTTCCGATTAGGTAATCAATGGAAGCTATCAAGACCCGCCCCATATAACTGACGTAGCTGTGTTACGAACCCGTACCCATGAAGAAATAGGCCTACATAATCCAATCTTCCATATTCACATGTTATGCCTAATATACAGTTTATTCTTGACAACAACTAAGTACTGAGGATCAAGCCTTACCATAGTGATCTCGTGTAATTATAATACCTATTAATTCCAATCGTAGTGTTACCTACACTGCTTACTTCAGGTTTATCTAAGGACATAGGTAGTCTATGATGTAGCCCGCAATGCTCAGTGCAAAATAATTATACCTCGGCAACTTTTGGCCATGGTTCTACAAATCCTCCTTTGTCCGTATGATGAGTAATAAAGCTAGGATTTTGGAGCTTTTAATTAAGACTCAATTCTAGTCTTGTTTAGTATTAGAATCCAAGCTCGACTTACATAGAACTCAGTTTAGATAATAAACCCAGACAGCGTCCCCAACGTACATCATCTTTCCTATTCTGATCTGAGCATTCAAAACGGCCTCAGAATAACTTCTCTGTTTATCACTATCCAAATCACTTTCATATTCTAACAACCCACAATCATCTACGTGTTGTCCACCATGGCCACCGAAGAACAGCCCAAAATTAAGCTCTACTGGTAAGTTCCTTTATTATTCATATCGCATCGTGAGCTGTCTCTTACAATTAAACAGGCTAGAACAGTCTCGCGCTCAAAACATCCTTTGGCTTCTTGAGGAGCTCAAGGTGCCTTATGAGCTTGAAACATTTCGTCGAGTAAACATGTTCGCCCCTCCGGAGTTAAAAAAAATTCATCCGTTGGGAAAGTCGCCCGTGATCTCCATTACACCCGCAGGCTCGGAAGAGCCCATCGTTCTAGCCGAGAGCGGGTTCATCACTCAATACCTGAGCGAGCATTTCAGCCAAGGCACCACCATGATGCCTAAGCGCTGGAAGGACGGCCAGGACGGCAAAGTCGGCGGCGAGACCGAGCAGTGGCTGCGGTGGCAGTATCTGCTTCATTACGTCGAGGGTTCGCTGATGCCGATGCTTATCATGGCGATGGTCCTAGGAGCGCTCAAGGGGCCTAATATACCCTTCTTCATCCGCCCTATCACCTCCATAGTCGCCAACCAGATCTTCAGCCGCCTCGTGTTCCCGAACGCAAAGTCGCAGCTGGGATTCCTAGAACAGCAGCTGGCGACTTCGGGAGGCGACTACTTGTGCGGCCCGGAACTCACATCTGCGGACGTGCTTATCAGCTTCGCGTTGATCGCAGCTAAGGATAAGTTTGAGACTTTTGGAACGTGGGAGAGCGGTGGCCCTAAGGCGCTGTTCCCTAAGGTGTTCGCGTACATCGATAGGCTCGAGGCACATCCCGGATACGAGAAGTCGGTTCAGAAGGTTAAGGAGATTGATTCGAGCCTAGGTATCATGTTCACGTCCAAGATGTGAAATTGAAAAGTCCTGGTTATGCGGTATCACTCATCTTCATGCGAGACCATCATGAATACTGAGTACATGCGAGCCAAATTACGCCTACGTACCAAATTGATGCAGGACGGGGGCTGAAAACCCTGCTGCTGCCGCCACGCCGCTTTAAGCCTCGGCCTACCCTAGGCCCGGCTTTGATTGGTGTCTTAAACTGAACACGGCATGGAAATAAAAAAGCCATTGATATGAGACGTGCTATCGAGTAGGGGACTTCGTCTTAGATATGAACTTTATAGTTGGAGGAATTAGTGATTGTATATACGTATAATATATGAGTTATGATATATTGAAAGCAAAGCTAGACCATCGTACTTGAATTTTTTTATACGAGTCCAGATGGCACGTCACCCTCTGATACCATCTATTGGACAGCGCTCAATATGGCTGTTAGAAAGCTGCCTCTGAGGCCTTTTTACGGCTCCCCACCACTCGAGAGCTTTTGTATTAGAGGTTACCTATAGAATATGCCACCGTCATGAATAAGACTCCGACTGTACAGAAACCCGTCCACCTAAAGCGCCGTAAGCTTTATCTAGTATCTATATAGACCAAGGCGACGGCAAGGCTTACTAACTGGTGAGTTTAGGATTGTTAGAGAACAGCGATGGAAGATTGGGAAGTGGAACAGCGACATTTATCACGAGCATCATCCATCTTTAGAACAGACGGCGGGCTTGATCTTCATCGGGCTAAATTTCAACACAGCAGTCATAGTCATCGGCGCGCTCGATTAGTGCGATGTAGACAAGAGATTCGCCCTACTTGAATGTCTTAGTTATATCGTGAGGGAATCGACGAATGCACTCAAAATGGCCTAACGAGCCGAAACGATGGCGATATAGTCTATCATTTACAATATCTACATTGACGCTCAAAATAACCATAATGATCTACGAATATTTATCAAGAGCGAGGTCGACTCAGCTGTTACTCAGAGGCGTATGCTCCAGGACCGTATTATTAAGGTGCTTATCAATGGTGCTTAAGACATGTAAATAACAATATTTCCCGAGACTACTGGAATCTAGCATCTCAACTGGAAAGGTTTCGATGGATCATGCGCCGAGTCAAAATCTTTGCGATCCGCGTCAAATGAAGATGGAAGGGTATATCGTCTAAGAACTTGCTGATTTATACTTGATCACCTTCTCTCGGATCCTCGAGCTTAGCAGAACGAGTTTTGGCCTCGCCCTGAACGCGCTACGGTTGTAAATTACGGCAGTTCGCCCTATTTGCCAGCCGCAGTTCCAGCATCTCATATATATAAGTGCCCCACTGCACACGGCAGCAAAGACCGCCTCGCTAAAAAACAATCGAGATGCTCTAGTCGGGAATAACCTAAACTCATATCTGAACGAAAATGGCCGATGTGGGTGGGAAAGGAAGATGTGATCCCCGTTTCTTGTACATAACATGTAAGTCGGAGCAAAAGCACTTGGGCGCCCCACGCCTATGTCAAACTGATAACTAACAATTCAAAAGATGGATTTCGGATTTCGCTAGCGGTGCACCGAGCAGCCAATAACTGTTCAACCAAGGGCGCCGATCCGGTTCCCGGCGGTTGTGTCCGGGGCTCAACCGTCTGTCTCTCCACAATAATAATAAGATCTGTGCATATCAGAATGTACAGTTGCATTGCATTGCATCCCTCTCAACAACATTGAAGCCAGCCTTCTTGTTAGCTAGCCAGCCTGTCATGTTTGTTCATAAGCTTACTCACCGCCCCTAATCAGATAGTATCGTACCTTAGGTATTTATCTCTCATTAATGGATGCCTATTGAAACCTCGTGCTGAACCCGCAGCTACCCGTCGATTCCTTCGATGGATTCCAGTGCAACTATGCCCAGTTAGCGGGGGGGGGGGGGGGGGGGGGGGGGGGGGGGTGGGGGGGGGGGGGAGGGGGGGGGGGGGAAAAGTGTAGCAATTTTGTGATTAAGAGAGAAGT